GTATAGTATTGAAGATTTTTTTTTTCAAATTAGTATGTGGAAGAAAGCCTCTTATGCAATTCCATCTGACATGAGTAAATTTAGGTATATCTCTCCTTCAAAGTTTACACATGTTTTGAACGTTGTTGGTTCCTTATGTGATGTGGGGTGATTAATGCTATCCTTAACTATCCTACAAATTTTTTAAACAGAAAATACATTTTCAAAATAATTTGTGTAAATTTAACAAGTCGTCCCTAGAAACCCTTTACATGCTTATAGATGTTCCACATGATCGTCACACACTGGACCTGAGGAAGATAGTAGAATTTACTTTGGTCATTTTGCTCCAAGTCGTGAGAATGCAACTTTGCTAGTATGTTACAAACATTTCGATATTTCGTAAAAGGCCCAACAATGTGTACATTTTTAATTCAAGGGTCTCTTTAAACAGGAGGAAGACACGAGGAAATGCATGCAGGATTCCATTTTGTGCAGAAAATGTTTATCTGCATTTAAGACAGAAAATTGATCTCAAGCATAGGATGGACAAATGCTAAGAATGGCATTTGATTACACCAGGGTTGGGCTGCAGAAAGCTAGAGTTTTGGACAAACCTGGCTGAACAGGAACAAAGTTGTCCCTTGGTCGGCCTAGACAGGTCCTCAAAGTAGGGGTAGATAATTGGAGGCAACTGATTTTGGAAGTGAGGTAGTAGAAACTAAGCAGCCGTTAAGTGTAGGTCATTTTGATTCAACCTTGATTAAAGCTATTGTGGCTTTCTTAGGATCTTGCTGGCCTCTAGGTAGGTTTATGGGTCTATACACTAACATAAACAGGTGACGTGATTATCCAGGTATCTCTCCTGGATATCAACTAATCCCTATGTTTCACTATGTGTAATGTTTCTTTTTGTATATCACATAACTTCCCCATTAGTTTTTGTTTATTTTCTTGGTTTATTATGTAGGTGATGTCTATGCCATATCTAGTTGAGTGTTTGCATTTAGTATTTTATTTGACAATAGAATGCATAATTACTTCCAGAATTACTCTTCTTTGCGTTTATCTTGTGGAATAATTGAATTGTTTTCTGAATTTGGCATAGACAAAAATTTATCACGTGAAAGCGATAGTCATGCATGCTTTGGTGGAGACAATTCTGATTTAGTTAGAATGTTAAACACCATTGTATACTGCTTTATCTTTTCCAATGGGTTCACTTATGTAAAAATGTAGTTGACTATTTCTTCAACGTTCAGTCATTCCTCACATGAAGTCTTTGAATGAATTCTTTCGCAATTGCTATTGCAGACTACTTGTGAACTCTCCTGACTATCACATTTTCAGGTGCCTCTGTCATTATTCGGAGTTTCTGGGAACTATGCATCTGCGCTTTTTATTGCATCCTCAAAAGCAAATTCATTGGATAAGGTTGAGGGGGAGTTGACGAGGCTTGTTGCAGCTTCAAAAGAGAGCCCTGTATTTTCTCAGTTTATAAAGGATTTGTCTGTACGTGCGGATGTTAGGGTGAAGGCTGTACAAGAGATCTTTTCTGAAGCCGGTTTTACAGATGTCACCAAGAATTTTCTAGGTATGAAATTAAACTACTTCCTAGCTTGCCAATGTTCTTGAAGTGGCATCATGTGTGTCTTTGGTATCATGTATCTTACTGACTAGGGGGATTGTGGGACACTAAGAGGGAGATAAAAGGATAAAAGTGAAGATAAGTGATGGAGGTAAAGGATATTCATGTGACCATTGTGCTGTGCCTCAGATACCATAAATTGGAGCGGTATTATATAGCCCATATCTGCATCCCTTGATCGGAAAAATCTGCAAAGAATGTTGCCAGCATCAATGGCCTAGATCGAAGTGGAGACGACTTTAATCCATTTAGCTATCCAAGTCAACTTTAACCCTGCTTTAGGACTCTGGGTAGCTGGCCCTGTTATGATACAATTGAAGGTCGAACTGCACTAGTCAAACTTTCTGCCATGGGGACATTCCCAGTAATGCCATTGGCCCACCTCCATGTAATGTTCATTGGCTATCCTCAGATCAGCTGACCAGAGGCATATTCAGGCAACATATCACATGTTGTGTCGAGAACAGTTGGGTTTTTGAAGGTTTTTACCAACTTAATCACGTGCTTAAACTTGTTCCCAAATTGATGTAGGGCTTATGTTGCCTTAAATGGATGTTTCTACTTATGTTAGCTCGTTGCGTATTTATTGTTATACTTCTGTTTCTCTTCATGTCTTGTTTGGGTGCTGGATTTTGCTCAACTAAGATTTCTCAAGGTTTAGCTTGTCAAGTGGACAACCTTCTTTGTCCGAATTTTGATCTTGTCATCTTTTTGGAAAAGCTATAATGGCTGAGAAGGGAAGGCTGAGGCACCTTGAGAAGATTGCTAAGACCTTTTCAGATTTGACAATGGCGCACAAGGGTGAAGTGAAGGTTACTGTGACGACTGTGATTGTAAGTCTCCTCCCCCATGGTTGTCTCTGATATCTATCCAGCAGTGTACATGATGATCAACCAGCTTTATTTTTTAAGTGAGCTCAATTGGGTTATCAGTTCACAGCTATAAATAGTATGCTTTATATGCTTTCAGATGGTATTTTTTTTCTTGTTTTATGTAATGTAGAAATTGCGGTTGAGAGCAGATTTGAAGCTGATCTTGTGCGTTCTGTGCGGATGGTCTTCCTCTTTCATCTATACTTTGTTCTTCGTTATATGTTTCAATTAGATGTCACTATTATCTAAATATTTGAAAGAATATCACTTATGGCCTAAGAAATTGGCTACTACTTGGTGAAATTACTTTCTTTCTGGTGAATATTTTCGTCTGGAGAGATTCGAAAATCTTCTGCAGGAGGAGAGGATTGATATTTTATGCAAGAAATTGTGTGCCCAAGTGCCATTTCGTTGCCTCGCTCTCAATGATTTGTTTATTGTCTGTACTTTTTGTCAAGAAATCTTGGGTCAGTTAGACGGGTTCCTTCTGGGATTTCTTCTGGGCACTGATGATTCCTGTTTTTCTTCCAGCCGCTTCCTGCAGAAGAGGAGAAGCAGCTGAAGGAAACACTGCAGGACATCATCGGGCAAGGGAAGACTGTGAAAGTAGAACAGAAGGTACCGCTCTCTGACTACATAATCAGTCAACTCTCAGACACTGCAAAGATTAATTGCAGCTATATCTCAAGACTGACTCTCTCTCTCTCTCTCTCTCTCTCTCTCTGTCTGTGTCTCCCCTTCTCTCTTTATCTCTCTCTCTCATCTCGATCTCAAGACTGACTCTCTCTCTCTCTCTCTCATTTAACTATCTTTATGTGTGTACATATATGCATGCATTTGCCTGTTGCTGAAGGTGGATTCTTGTCTGCAGATTGATCCCAGCATCCTCGGAGGGTTAGTGGTGGAGTTTGGGCAGAAGGTCTTCGACATGTCGATAAAGACCAGGGCGAAGCAGATGGAGAGGTTCTTGAGGGAGCCCGTCAACTTTGAAAGCTTCTAGAAGCTTCCACTGCGGAAGCTTCCCCATTCCGATTCCCATTTCTTTCTTCTTTCGGTCTTGGCTGCGGAGTCTTGAGAAATAAGAACCCACCCACAGAGAAGAGAGGCCCTTTTGGGGGTGGGGGGCGGCGCAGCTGCCCACCCCGCAATTTGTTCTCTTTTACCATAAATGGACTGCCGTTGACTTTTTAAAGTATCGTCCTTTCCTTATTTAATCACCAAATCTGATGATGATCAAGTGAGGCCATGTGGGTCATCTGGATCGGCTGATCCCATCCGACTCGTGCTGAGTAAAAGGTGTTCTTTTGTACTTGATGAAACTATGCAAAAATAAAATATAAATTAAAATAATCCGCGTCTTGTAACCAAAAGCTGGTGCCTCGCATTATGGCATCGATAAATGGGACCAACAGAGAGATAGAGCTAGATACGGAGAGAGAGAGAGAGAGAGTGAAGTAGAAGCGAGTAGAAGGCCACCCCATGGCCCACAACGGTTACTTGTGAGTAAAGATAAATAAAACGAAAAATTGGAAGAAAAAATGGACCGAGAGATTGAGTCAAACTCACGAACATTTCTTTAACCCTGTTGATGGCTCATCCTCTTTGTAGAATACATTGATACTAATTTAGCAATTTACACCAAAGTTGAGGCATTTCAATGCGAAAACGGTTCTCACTAGAAAATATTAGGTTAAATAATTAGGAAAATTACATGGGCGGGCATAATGAATTGCTAGGCTAGATGGTTTGATTGGGCAATAATTCACAAAGGGCATGCTAAAAACAATAAACTGAGTTTAGGCTCTAAATCACTGATCCTTATGCAGCCCAAATCGCACTTGTCTATTAAACGATCAGAAAATAACTTAAAGATGCGACTTGGTTTTTGCAACTAGATATATTTCATATTTTTATTCAAACAGTTTATTTCAATTAAACATCTTATCAAGCGTTCTCACTGAAAATAAATGCGAAAATTTGTAAGAATCTTAATCAGGTCTTCAATGTGAAATATAATTGAAGTTTCTAGTAAAAAATCTGTTTAATTTGATATTTCTTATGTGCTATCTCTTCCTGTCTCAAGAACGAATGAAGATGAGAAATAGAATAAAAAATTAATTAAAACCCTGTTTCATTCAGGAATAATTTAATATTCGACATTGATTATGAGCATATTTAAATAGTAGATATGATGTCGAGAGAAAAATAGCGGAAAGTGTACAACTGAAGATCTATCTTCTTCTTCTCCTCTTTTCTACGCAAACCCTTTCACAGCCATCGCCATCATTCGACCACGAGTCAGTCAGAACTGTCACCATAATTCAACCAAACCCCGCTTCTTCTCGCTCCTCTTTCTCTCCTTTCTCTGTCTCTCTTGCATATAAGAGCCCATGGAGGGGAGAGAGAGAGAGAGGGGAGAGATGCTCCTCCGACCATCGCCGGCAACCGGGGTGGGAACTGCGGAAAGTCTCCAGGGGAAGCTTCCTTGACGGGGAGAAGAAATGAGGAAGTCGGAAGAGCAGACGGTGGGGGAGAGCGGCGGTGCTGAACTTCGGAAGGGGTTGTGGTCGGCTGAGGAGGACGAGAAGCTGATGAGGTACATGGCCAATGGGGGGCAGGGGTTGTGCTGGAGCGATGTCGCCAGGAACGCTGGGTTGCAGAGGTGCGGGAAGAGCTGCCGGCTCCGGTGGATCAACTACCTCAGGCCCGACCTCAAGCGGGGGGCTTTTTCTCCTCTGGAGGAAGAGCTTATCGTCCACCTGCATTCGCTTGTGGGCAACAGGTGATCTCTCTGTCTCCTGTCTGTCTGCCTCTCTCTCTCTATCTCTATCTCAAGTCTGACTCTCTCTCTCTCCCTCCCTCTCTCTCTTTCTCTCTCCCCCTCCCTCTCTCTCTCTCTCCCTCCCTCCCTCTCTCTCTTTCCCTCCCTCCCTCCCTCCCTCCCTCTCTCTCTCTCTCTCTCTCCCTCTCCCTCCCTCTCTCTCTCTCTCTCTCTCTCTCTCCCCCTCTCTCTCTCCCCCCCCCTCTTCTCTCTCTCTCTCTCTCTAACGCAGTCTCTGTCCATCTACTTCTATACTTGAACCTTGAGATATTATATCCGTCTCCGAGAGGGGGGAGAGAGAGAGAGGAACCATGCAATACGTTTCTGTGCCTCCATCCGTCTCATTGCTAAGAGATCTACGTCTACTGTATAAGAAATTCTTAGCTCAGATTCGTCCCTAGATATATATGCACCTATGTTCAGAGAGAGACCACGAGAGAAGTTAAGTGAGAAAAAGAATGGCCGTGCTCGCACTTCTGCGCTTCCATCCTTCAAAAAGGGAGAAGCCTGAGGCCTCTATCTCCACCGTCTTCTCTGAAACTAAATTCCTTCCGCAAAACCATCTAGGTGGTCTCAGATCGCCGCCCGCCTTCCCGGCAGAACTGACAACGAGGTCAAGAACTTCTGGAACTCCACCATCAAGAAGAGACTGAAGACCACCTCCTCGTCGGCGCCGTCGCCGCCGCCACCAGCATCAGCGCTGCCTGCAGTTACTCAAGTCCCCGGCCGGTGCAACCCGCCTCCTCCTCCTGGCTACTTTGTCGCGCCGCCATTGCCCTCCCAAGCAGGTCTTCAAGGAGACGGAAGAGGAATTTTTGCGCCGCCGTCGGAGAGTCTGAGCTCGGAAGAGAACCTTAATGGGGGAAGCTCTCACGGGAGCTATTACAGTGCGCTGGAAGGGATCGAATATCATGGAAACGGCTACGAAGAGGGTTTCGATGGGAATTTATTGGGTGAAGAGGGGATGAGGATGGGCGAGTGGAGCTTGGGAGATCTCATGGAGGACGTCGCTTCCTTCCCTTTCATTGATTTCTAGGTTGAATCATCTCCCTCTATGGACCATTAGACTCGAGGTTTCAAGATACTTACTCCTTTTATTTACTGAAGAGTATTGATTATTTTTAGATAAAGAGAGAAATATTACTGAGAGAGGACGAACCGTGGGAACCTCTCCCTCGCTAGGATGTTTCATCACTCATTTTCGGAAGTCAGAATTCAATAGCCATATTTCGGGTAGTATGCTTGTCCTAGTATCATGTGGGACACAAAGATGATACCTACTCAAATTCATGTATGATCTAGCCGTACCCATATAAAGTCATTAAGAATTCTAGTAAAGAAAGTACTAAAAAAACTAAATATTTTCACATTAGTCTAAGTAAGATTAATAAATATAGACTACGATCATGTGAGAGTATTATTGTGTGGGTCTTATATGAACTGACTCAGAACACTAACTGTGACTCACACTAACATTGTGTATATTGTTAGTGTTTTGGGTCAGTTCATGTAAGAGCCACGATGAGTTCATTGAGAGGGAGTTTTACGGATTTTAGTATACATCAAGCAAGCCTCAGAGAAAGTACTCATCTATCGATGACACGACTATCTCCATGTTGAAACTTATTTTGATGGTGGATATATAAGTGACAAAGGCGATCGAAAGTCTACTACAGTTTATTGCACATATGTTAGAGGTAATCTCATCACTTGACAATCCTAAAAATAAAAGGTGATGCTGAAGATCTTCAAAAAGTGATCAAAGCTATATCATTTACCACACAATCTTAATCATGGCTCGATACTCAAACCCGTCATTAGAGTGGGACACCACCCTTTATTTTTGAGACCGTCAAGTAGCGAGGTTACCTTCGACATATGTATAGTAACACATAGTAGACTTCTAGTTGTCCTTGTCACTTACATACCCACCATCAAAATAAGTTTCAATACGAAGATGGCCACATTGTCAGTAGATGAGTCCTTTTCTTAGAGCTCATTGAATGTATGCAGAACCCATAGAACTCTTATTGTGGCTCCTATATGAACTAACTCAAAACATTAACCGTATACATGATGTCAGGGTAAGTGATAGTGAGATATATTAGACTATACCAATTAACATCAAGAAGTGGAGAGGAAGTATCCTAGAACTACAAATGAACTTCTATGAGTAAAGTCTCCGACTTGCACCTGAGTCTAATCTCTTAAAGTATGTTAAGAGCATACTTTTACTAGGTCATGGTGAGCTTCCTATCTTAGTACGTAAACTCGATGCCCTAAAAGTATCTTAGAGTCTCCAAGTCATGGATGTTGAGGTACTACTATAAATAAGCTTTGGTAGAATGAAGTCGGCCTCATCACTTTTAGTCACAAGAATGTCATCGACATAGACTACAAGAATGACTAGGCCACCCTCAGTCTTCTTTGTGAGCACAATGAGATTCGCAATGTATGACAAGAAGTCAAATGTGGTGAGAAGATTACTAAACTTTATGAACCAAGTGGATAGACTCTACTTAAGCTCATAAATTATTTTCCACAAGAAACACACAGATGACTCTCCTTGAGCAACATACCTTGGAAGTTGCTTCATAAAGACCTGCTCTTTAAGATGACCATAAAGAAAGATGTTATAAACATTTAATTGGTGGAGAGACCATATTTGATTTACAACAAGAGAGAGGAACCCTAGGACGGAGGTGAGTCGGACGACGAGGGAGAATATCTCAGTGTAGTCAATGTCATATTGTTTTGAAGCCACAAGCAACTAGACTAGTTTTGTGATGTGCAATAGTGCTATTTGGATGGTATTTGAGTGTGAACACCTATTTGCAGGTGACAATGTTGACGTTTGCCAGATGGAGAACTAGTGTCTAAGTTCCCTAAGATACCAAGGCTCTACTTTCAAGTCTACGACCACCTTCCACTCAAGTACTTATGCTATCTTAGCATGTGAGTGGAGAATTGACTCAAAGGCCACAAAATGGGCAAAAGTACAAAAAGAGGGGGAAAGGTGATTGTAGGAAATGAAGTGAGAGACGAGGTGTTAGGTACAAGTATTGGTACCTTTGCGTAGGGCAATGGAAAGATAAAGATCATCTTGAGGAGTATTGGGGACGTTAGTGGAAGGCACATGCGACTCAATGGAGGAGGGGGATGACAGATCTATAGCTGAATTAGAGGAGGCCAAAGGAGATAGAGAACTAGGGGGAGGAGGTGATGGTGGAGAGGACAAATGGAAAGGAGTCGAAGGAGATGGATCCACAAGGATCACCAAGGAGGGAAAGCCAAGTGGAGGAGAGGTGGCGGATCAAGGAGGAAAGGTAGAAGGGAAAAGGAAGACTCCTCATGGAAGGTGACATTAGTTGACGTAATGTAGCAACAGGTGTTAAGAAAGTAAACTTAATAGCCCTTCTACTTTGGGAGTAGTCGACAAAGACTCCTTTGAGAGCATGAAGGAAAGTTTAGGCAAAAAAAAGAAATAATCTTAAACGAAGTCAGTGCATTTAAAGACCAATCCTTTGCCTAGTGTTAGATATTGAAAAGTGTAATGAAAAAGAAAAAAGGTAATGATACAACTAAGGGCACAAGTAATGGCACTAATCGAGAGAAGGTTTGCAAGAAAACCGAAAATGAGAAGGACCTACTAAGAGAAAGGTTAGGAGTGACGAGGGTAGTGCCACGGCCTTTGACTGGACAAGTCTAACCATCGACAATGGTGATAGAGAGATGAAAAGAGGTAAGTTGATATAAAGATAAAATGGATGAAGTACTGGTTATATGAGTGGAGGCCCCTGAGTCAATAATTTACGACAATGAAGAGAAAGTAAGAAAAGCATGTGTACCTAGCGTGAAGAGAGTTGGAAGTGAGGAGAGGTTGACGAAAAAAGAGGTGTTTCTAGAATTATAGAGATTGATGTAATGACAAAACACATCATACTCTATAAACATCACGTTGACATTGAAAGTCAAAGTGAAGATGCTTGAAGGAGCGAGTGAGATAGGAGCCAAAAGAGCCATCATCAGTTAGGTGGAACCAGGTTTGCCAAACTGCTTTCAAAATTTGTTGGCCTAGTGGTTTTATTTGCTGCAATAGAGACATGAGGGAAAGGATTTGCAGCCCTTCCCACGAGGAGGAAGAACACCCTCAAAGCGGGAAGATGGGCCATCATCTTGACCTAGAGGAGTGGCAACGACCATAGAGAGGGAGAAGTTGCAGCACCTGTAGAAGAAGGTGGGGAGGACAAGGACGTACTAGTTGTGGCCTGAAGTGCCATAGAGAAGATGAAGGTGAGATTGGGTACTTAATCATCGGAGAGAATGAAACTATGGATCTAGGATGCAGTGGAAGGATGAAGTTTGTTAAGGTACACACCAGCATAGAACTCCTAGCGATTAGAATTGGAGCGTCAAAAGGTCTAAGGTGGGAGGTAGATAAATATCTAGCTCTTGAATGAGAGCTAGATTGTAGTATGCTTGGAGAGAGAAATTCCCTTACTTGTAGTTGAGGAGAGTCTAAGATCTCCACCACTTGACTGATGTTCATCTAATTGATGAATATCACCTCTAAATTGTCTCATAGAAGGTATGTCAGCTTGATACTAGAGAGAGGCTTGACGATGCTTCGCTTGATGCTATGGAGCATCCAAATGATAATGGTCAAGTCGATTTGTGACTAGTAGGTAAATAAGGGTCATGGAGAGTTGAATAATCATTCATGAGATGATGAAGGAGGTAGTAGGACTACAAAAAGAGCTCGAAGTTGGATACCCATGATGCATAATTATGGTCGTTGAATGTGTAAATGGGTCAGGTGAGTTGCGCCATAATGGAGTGGCGGGCTAGAGGGGCCACTAGGTAGAATGTCATCTAGTAGGAGCTCCGAGGCAGGTGGGGATGGAGACGATGAAGAAGCAACGAAAGAGGTCATAAAGGCGCAGGTACAAGTAGAGTACAAATGGTGCCGGAATGACGTGGGGAGGTCGTGGCCTAGAGGCAGGTGCCGGCAGAGAGGGGCACGTTGGGAGGGTAGGGCAGGTGCTGACGACGAAGACCTCAAGGCATGGCCAGAGGGAGGCAGAAGCAGTGGTGGAGACTACGGTGGCGCAGCAGTGGCAGCGGTGGCTGCAGCAGTGGGGGAGGCCATGGCTGCGGCAGTAGAGGCCACAACGGCAGAGGCGGCAACGACGGAGGCTGCAGCAATAGAGCACACTGTGACAGGTTCACCTAAGGCGCACCGTCTTGGGCATGTCGTGGTGGCGGTGGTGATCGAGGGCGGCGGGTGGCACCTAGGGCACGCCCAGTAGGGATGCGGAAGCCACCTAGGGCACACTCGGTAGGGAGGTGGATGCCGCCTAGGACACACCCAGCGTGGTGGCCTGGAGCAGCCGGAGGAGGCTGCGGTGGTGGCAGCAGGGAGGCTGCGGCGGTGGTGGTGTGGCAGCCTAGAGGAGCAGCCGGTGGCCTGAAGGAGCAGCTGGCGGTGGCACGGCAGCCTGGAGAGGGGCGGAAGCAGAGGCGGCATCAGTGAGGGGTGGTGGTGGAGGAGGACTGCCACAAAGACTATGGCCGCTGAGGAGGAGGGCGCTGAAGAAAGGAACGATGTTGGAAGGTGGGCACTAGTGAGAGGAGAAGGACATCGCCGAATGAGGGCACTACTAGAGGAGGGTGGCGCGCCAAAGAGGGAGGCAGCAACTGGAGAGAATCTAGGGCTCTGATACCATGTTAACAATAAAAGAGAAAACTCTAGAATTCATAGAGGAGAATAGAATACTACATGTGTCTATATAGAAGAGGAGAGAAGGAGATAGAAATAATAGACCCTAATAGGCCGAGAGTCTGATGATAGTGGCAAAGTCAAGCTCAAGGTATAAGAATTAACTACTCAACTCCAAGACAGTGGGGGAACATATGTGTGCCCCAAGGGGGGGCATTACAAGTCTTCTATTTACATTGGACATCACTGAGAAGGGTGTTGAGGTAGCTTCGAAGATGTACAAGCATGTGGGATGTCAACACAAGGGAAAAGAGAAA